TCCCATCCCATCACTCCCATCCCAATCCCATCATTCCCATCCCAACCCCATTATCCCAATCCCATCATTCCCATCATTGCCGTGACCCCCGGTCCCGCCGCAGGCGTGTCCCACCGGCACCTGTCGGATCACCTGTCGGAGCTGGTGGAGCAGACCCTCAGCGACCTGGAGCAGTCCAAGTGCATCAGCATCGAGGACGAGATGGACGTGGCGCCCCTCAACCTGGGCATGATCGCCGCCTACTACTACATCAACTACACCACCATAGGTGCCCAAAACCCCCAAAAAATCCATGGGGTTGGGGGTTTGAACCCAGAAAATCCATGGGGTTGGGAATTTCCCTCAAAAAAATCCATGGGGCTGGGGGTTTGAACACAAAAAATCCATGGGGCTGGGGGTTTGAACCCAAAAAATCCATGGGGTTGGGGGTTTGAACCCAAAAAATCCATGGGGTTGGGAATTTCCCTCAAAAAAATCCATGGGGCTGGGGGTTTGAACCCAAAAAATCCATGGGGTTGGGAGTTTGAACCCAAAAAATCCATGGGGTTGGGGATTTTGCTCAAAAAAAACCGTAGGGCTGGGGGGTTTCACAAAAAAATCCATGGGTTTGGGTGTTACCCTTAAAAACTCCCAATTTTGGGGTGTTGTCCCAAAAAATCTCTGGTTTTGTTGATTTTCCTTCCAGAAAAATCTCTGGCTTTGGGTTTTCCCCCCAAATTCTCAATTTTTTTGTGTTTTCTTCTCAAAATTCCCCAGTTTTCTGTGTTTTCTCCCTAATTTATCCCAGATTTTCTGTGGTGTATCCCAAATTTTTCCATGCTTTTTCCCAAATTTTTCTGTGTTTTCTCCCCAGAACCCCTGATTTTTGTGTTTTCCCCCAGAACTGTTCAGCATGTCCCTCAACGCCAAGACCAAGGTGCGGGGGCTGCTGGAGATCATCTCCAACGCCGCCGAGTACGAGAACATCCCCATCCGGCACCACGAGGACAACCTGCTGCGCCAGGTCTGGGATCCGGGGGATCAATGGGATCCATGGGATGGGATCAATGGGTTTTGTGGAATCCATGGGATGGGATGGGATCCATGGGAACATCCCCATCCGGCACCACGAGGACAACCTGCTGCGCCAGGTCTGGGATCCGTGGGATCCATGGGATCCATGGATGGGATCAGTGGGATCATTGGGATCCATGGGATGGGATGGGATCAATGGGAACATCCCCATCCATCACCATGAGGACAACCTGCTGCGCCAGGTCTGGGATCCGAGGGGTCAGTGGGATCCATGGGATCCATGGAATCCATGGGATGGGATCAATGGGTTTTGTGGAATCCATGGGATGGGATGGGATCAATGGGAACATCCCCATCTGGCACCACGAGGACAACCTGCTGCGCCAGGTCTGGGATCCGTGGAGTTAGTGGGATCATTGGGATTCATGGGATGGGGTCAATGGGATTATTGGGATCCATGGAATCAATGGGATGGGATCAATGGGATCGATGGGATGGGATCATTGGGATCAATGGGATCAATAGCATCCATGAAATCCGTGGGATGGGATCAATGGGAACATCCCCATCTGGCACCAGGAGGACAACCTGCTGTGCCAGGTCTGGGATCATTGGGAGGGGATCATTGGGGTCAATGGGATCAATGGGATCCATGGAATCCATGGGATGGGATCAATGGGATCCGTGGGATGGGATCATTGGGATGGATGGGATGGGATCCATGGGAACATCCCCATCCGGCACCATGAGGACAACCTGCTGCGCCAGGTCTAGGATCTGTGGGGTCAATGGGATCCATGGGATGGGATCATTGGGGTCCATGAGATGGGATCATTGGGATGGATGGGATGGGATCAATGGGAACATCCCCATCTGGCACCACAGGGACAACCTGCTGCGCCAGGTCTGGAATCTGTGGGGTCAATGGGATCCATGGGATCCGTGGGATAGGATGGGATCATTGGGATCAATGAGATTGGGTCAATGGGATTATTTGGATCCATGGGATCATTGGGATGGATGGGATTATTGGGATCCATGGGAACATCCCCATGCGGCAGCACGAGGACAACCTGCTGCGCCAGGTCTGGGATCCGTGGGGTCAATGGGATCCATGGGATCCATGGGATGGGGTCAGTGGGATTATTGGGATCCATGGAATCAATGGGATGGGATCATTGGGATGGATGGGATTATTGGGATCCATGGTAACATCCCCATCTGGAATCATGAGGACAACCTGCTGCCCCAGGTCTAGGATCCATGGGGTCAATGGGATCATTGGGATCAGTGGGGTGAATGAGATCAATGGGGTCATTGGGATCAATGGGATCAATAGCATCCATGAAATCCATGGGATGGGATCCATGGGAACATCTCCATCCGGCACCACGAGGACAACCTGCTGTGCCAGGTCTGGGATCGGGATGGGATCATTGGGATGGGATCCATGGGATCATTGGGATCCATGGGATGGGATCATTGGGATCCATGGGATAGGATGGGATCATTGGGATCAGTGGGATCAATGGGAACATCCCCATCCAGCACCATGAGGATAACCTGCTGTGCCAGGTCTGGGATCGGGATGGGATCATTGGGATGGGATCATTGGGGTCAATGGGATGGGTTGAGAACAGGATCAGTAGGATCGATGGGATGGGATCAGTGGGAATGATGGGATGGAATGGGATGAGATGGGATGAGCACTCATCAATCCCAACCCCGTTAATTCCACAATCCCAAACCTCTCTCCCTCCTCCTCCCCGGTGATGGAGCTGGTTTGGGGCTCAAGCACTAAAGGGTTTCTCCTCCACCCACAGCTGTCCCAGAAGGTGCCCCACAAGCTGACCAACCCCAAATTCAACGACCCCCACGTCAAGACCAACCTGCTGCTGCAGGCCCACCTGTCCCGCATGCAGCTGAGCGCCGAGCTGCAGTCGGACACCGAGGAGATCCTCAGCAAGGTGGGACCCCAAAACCCCGCTCGGGGCACGGGGGGCGCAGCAAAGGGTTCTTGGGGTGAGGAGCTGGAGAGATCCCCCATCCGTCATGGGAAACGGGCTGGATTTGGGGTGGGGTGGGATTTATGGGTGAGGAAAGTGGGGTGGGATAAGGAGGTTCTCCAGGAATTCCATCCCATGAGGGCAGTTCTCCAGAAATTCCATCCTGGGTCCATCTATGGGATCAATTCTGCAGGAATTCCATCCCATGCAGTCAGTTCTCCAGGGATTGCCCCATGTGGTCACTCTTCAATGGGGTCAGTTCTACAGGAACTGCTCCAGCCTGGGTCCATCTCATGAGGTCCCCATCCTTG